TTGTAGTGGGGATATCAGGATAGCAGATGGACAGCATGCACTACCAAAAGAACAATGAATATTTTGGAGGTAGGTGAGGCCAGTGACTGCAGATCAGAAATCTGTAGCATGTGCAGAGAATTACACTACAAGTTCTCTGTTTGTATCGAAAGTCTAATATATCTTATTCCTCTGGGTCAAAGAGCTAAACTGTCATCCAGACACTTCTAAAAACACATCAGACACACACTGTTTCTTCTTCATCATCATGAACACACAGCTTGGAGTTTATTTTGACTTAATCCCACATACACCATCCTGCTGTAACAAATATTCACTTGTGCATCCAATGTGGAATAATCCACAGCCAATAATGGTCAGTAACAAATGAACTGTTGTCTCATTTTTAATCAATGTGTATTAAATACTCCTGTGAAGAGCTGTGTTGAGAGATTATTGAACTTTGAACTATTTTGGCTTTTAAAGAATCACATCTTCAGAAATTCATACTGAATGACAATGAGATGTATTCAAATAAGATTAGACTTATCTTTTTTATATTGCAAAATCTTACTTTCAACCCATTTTCATAATACCTACTATGATAACCTCCCATGCCGGCTCCCTTTGTACTTCATTATAATTAAGTCCAAGAGAATATTAAAACATATGTATGATTTTGAATTACAATAAAAAATGTTCACATTCTGCAACTGCCTGTAGTCTATACCTTGACCTGATCAAGTTTTCTCAGGTACAAATAAGTTAAAGAGGAAACACTGCTGGTGGGATTTTACAACCAGTGGGAAGAACAGCAGCTGTCTGCTAATTGGCTACAAATGCTAATTCTTCCATTGAATGGTAATGGAGGTTTATAACAGCCAATCAGTGCTCACTGAGGTGCACCTATTAACACTCTGGTCACAACAGTGACAGAAAAACAATCTGACAAATATAATTTATGAAGCTCTTGGTAAAGCAATATCAACTGTGTAATTTTGGGACCTTAAATTAACAATTGCCAGTGCTCTGTCTGTTTCTGTAAGAAGTTTAAAGAGTTTTCTTTTTCTAAGGAAAAACATCAGCAGCATTTCCCACCCTCCTTTGAGAGAAGAGGGACAGGCTGTTTGTAATTTATGAGTCTACATATAAAGTTACAGACAGGAGATTTGCAGTGGGTATTCATCCCATTCCCTCTCCGTACCATGTTGTGTGTGACTCACTCTCCTACACACACTCACATCCCCCTCTCCTCCACATCTTAACATCCATTCTTGTCTGACCCGCTACAACAATGGCATCCAAAAGAGCTCCAATTGCCTTGTGACCCTTAACTTCACCCCCTCACTTCCCCCTTTTTTAAACTCTGCCGACAAAGAATGCTGCTGGAGTTCAGATGGGGAGGCATTCAAACTCCATTTAACAACCAGCCCACCATAACTCACCTCTACGCTCACTGGCCCACTGAAGCTCAGCTTGTGTTAAACAAAAATCAGTCGCTTGAACAATTGTGCTCACAGTGATAGAACTAATAAAGTACCAAGCAGAGGTCATTTTGTTGATGTGAATCATGTCACTAAGTACATTTCAAATATCTGAAAGTCACAGTCGTCACTAACTGTGTGACTGAATCAAGTTTATATGGATTTCAATATATACGTCAGCCATTGCAGTCCTCATGTCAGTTTGTTGTTAGTAGAATAAAAATAGAAATAGAAAG